TGAGGCAGGGACTCGGGCTGGCCACCTTCAAGGGCTACAAGCTAAACCGCAACGTCAACCAGAGCAAGTGCAAGAAGGTGAAGAACGATGAAGCTGAGGCCTCACCACCACCATCACTGGCTGCCCATCAAGAAGGTCCTCTCACCCCTGGGCCAAGCACCTCACACGTGGGACTGGCAGCCCAGAACGCTGCAGCACTCCTGGGCGCAAAGGAAGGCAATGCCACACCCGATGACCTCGACATGCTGCCACATGACGACCACCCATTGGTCGGGCAGCAGGACCACGTGGCTGACAAGGTAGCGCACTACCTTCAGTCCATCACTGCCGCCAATGGAGGCCATGGAGGTGTCAGTGTTGACACGATCGACGACCTGCTGGCCCGCGTCAAGTCAGCCTACATGCGGCTCATCGAGTCCACGCCAGATGACATCTGCACTGTCACCGCCAGCACTGATGAGCCTGACCTCCTTGTGCCTACGGTGCCAGAGCACAGAGGTACTGATTTCTCTGTGTGGGGTGAAGTCCTAACTGGGCTCATTGCCAATCAGGAGGATGGTAATGCTGTGGAGGAGCTCATTGTGACCCACCTTGCCACCGCGATCCCGGGGCCGGAAGATGGCGTCCTCCCGCCTCCCGATCCTCGGTGCTCTTCCCCGACCCACACCAAGAGACCGATCCGACTCGAGGGTCGATGATGATAGGGAAGACGCGGCGAGCGCTGAGGGAGCGGGGAGAGAACGCTGGATGGAGTGGGCTGAGATGGACATTGGAGAGCTCTTGGGCGACCTTGAAGACAAGGAAGATCATACAGACCAGCACTGGAAGAGAAGCGCCAACGATCAGCCCACCGCCTCCAGCGCCGGCCATCAGGACACCCACAACAAACAATATCAGGCGACAGAGCCGAGGAGACCAGGAACCACTCTTTCCTCTCGTTTGGTACGCACCTTCTGCGCCGCCATCTCTCTTCACTCCCCAAGGCTGCATCACCTTACCAAGCGCGGATTCGCTTCCAATGGGGCGCCCTGGCAGCAGGGCGAGGAGATCCAGTCTGGCGAAGAGTTTCATCCGGATTCGCCGTCGTACGAGCCACCTCAGCCTGAGCGTCAGAGCTTCACGTTTGGTCCACAACAACCATCATACCAGCGAGGGGGTCCACCAGGCCGGCCAGCGATCCCAGCCAGTCACACACGAGAGGGTACACCGTTCCTCCAGTGTGCTTTCTTCCTGAGAGGCATGCCTGCCAGGCTCTGACGGACCAGCCCTGCTTCTTACTGCAGACAGGCCAACCGAGCGCCGGTCATGGGCTCACAGCCCAGAGAATCAGCGCAACAACTTGCGACAAGGTTGGGGGAGGTCCTCCGACAAGAGGAGTCACAACAACCGACCCTATCGTCCCAGAGACACGCACTGTCGTGCAGAAGCCAAGCGTCATCAATCTCACCAGCACACTCACCAACACACTCACTACGAGCCGCGGCGAAAATGGCACCAATCAAGATCAAGTCCGACGCACAACTATTCTCAGGAGCACAAGCACAACAAGCACATGGGGACAACGTCAGACGCAACCGAGGCAGGAAGCGTTCGAGAGAGAGGACAGACCACTTCACCCGTTCGTCGCACGCGCGGCCAGCCCATCACCACCACCAGGGATCCGGCCGTGACAAACGGAGACGGCGGGAGGACGAGTCGGAGCAGGGGTCATCAGCACGAGCTGAGAGCGAACCCCACGGGTCACACCCCCTGGTGAGCCTTGCGACGTCCCGGAAGCCGGGACACCTG